AAAAAGAAGACTTTGGATTGGATTATCATCTGGTACCCTTTAGATCAATAAAAAGACTTTGGATTGGATTATCATCTGTTACCCTTTAGATCAAAAAGAAGACTTTGGATTGGATCATCATCTGTTACCCTTTAGATCAAAAAGAAGACTTTGGATTGGATCATCATCTGTTACCATTGAGATCAATAAGAAGACTTTGGATAAGATCATCATATGTTACCCTTTAGATCAACAAGAAGACTTTGGATTAGATCATCATCTGTTACCCTTTAGATCAATAAGAAGACTTTGGATTGGTTGGTAGCCAATGCATTTGAAACAGTCATCCCGGGTAGTGTGAATCCATCTTCCCTTATTCACCGAGTAGTATGGACGACCTTGACAGTTAACGACATTGAAATGTAACTCACTTCCAGAATTCAGCTATTATCATCACGATTTTTGCATCAAAATGTTTTGAAAGTATGTTATTTTTATCTATAAGTGGAAATAGATTGGACGTATAGATATATCTACAAGAGTTATGTCCCTTCGAAAATAGAGCGATAATGCTCGTCTGCGACAACAATCATGGCGAAACGCATACATGTTCAGAAATTGAATTAAATGAAGTGTTTGAATGGCTTTGCTATAAGCACTTTCAGATCCCCTAATGCAAACAGTGCAAGGTGTCATGGTAACTATTGAAATCGTCCAAAATAGACGAAATCGTTTTCAAATCCCACATTCTCTTATCCTATGGAAACACCAGCTCTGAATAGCATACCGCCTGCAGTAAACCGTTTGACATTAATACGAGGTTATATAAAACATTGTACTGTTCAACCCAGGTTAATATATTCATTTATAACTAATAAAGTATGCGTTTACGCATTTACAAAGCCCAATCCATACGATCCTTCGTGCATAAAACGGGGCCAGCTCTCGGCCAAAACGTGCTTTCTCCGCGTCAATAGTGTCCGCCATTGTTGTATATCACTGGGCACAGCAGTGCCACCGACCGTGACCACTGGCTACTTGGGTGGCGCAAGGACTCCCGCCAAGTGTCGCTACCACGTGTCTTGCATGTCCAACAAGGTGTGAGGATAAATAGATTTCCTATAGTTATGACCATCACCTCCTGGTCATACTGGAGATCGCCTACAGGAACGTTGTAAACGGTTGCCATGTTGACGTCTTGCCCTCTGCAGCTGTAGTTTATTATCCCCACATCCAGTGAGTTGGGTTTGTCATGTCCGTCTTTCCGCCAGAATGTTCAGTGTTGAACAGCTACACCAGAGTTATAAGAATTTGTCATCTGCATGGTATTGGTGGTATTGCAGCTGATGTTTCCCAAAGATGTTTCCCAGAAGAGTGGAGAATAGGACCGGACCAAGGACAGAGGCCGGAGGGACTCCATGTTATACTCTGTGGTATTTTGCGCTGTGACTTTGCACTGTGTGCTGTAACACATCTGTTTTCAAGATAATTATAAAATAAGGGTTACGTGGAATTTGAAAATAACATAAGTAACGTAGCCAATATCATATTATGTTCTTCATTCTCTTTTGGAATGAAGATCAAGTCAAAGAAAAGCAGCGCAACAATGCCCCAATGGTATGCGAAATTACATGTGGACGGTCACTTCGCAGTAGGTGTAAGAGACCAGGGGTCGCTTGAGGGTTAGCATTCGCACGTCATGATGAAGACCCTGGTTCGATTCCCCACATGAGTACAATGCGTGAAGCCCATTTCCGGTGACCCCCGCCGCGATATTCCTGTAATATTGCTAAAAGCGGCGTAAAACCTTATTCGCCCACTCGTATTAAGTTTCGACAAAGGCAAGGTATGGACAGGATAACACTCGTCTCTTATATAGATCATGATACAACTATACCAGACAACTCTGTGTGTGTGCGTGCGTGTGTGTGTGTGCGTGTGCGTGCGTGCTTGTGTATAGAAGATCATGTGAGTACTAATAGTAAGTGGGACTACCTTACACAGATCAATTGTGACAATGTTGCTTTTTAAATTATCTTTTATTTATTGGGTAGCTGTGATATTCCCAGTCTCCCAACACAAGGGGAGGTGGGCAACCTTGTGGTTAGAGCGTTCACTCGTCACGCCGAAGGCCTGGATTCTTCACGTGGGAACAATTTGTGAGTGTCATTTCTGCTGTCTGGTTTAATATTGCAAGAATAATCTGAAAGCGTAGTAAAACCGTAATCTCCTTCGAGACCAATAACCGAAACATACCAACTCTTCAACATGTTCACATTGAGTAAGGTCATATTTGTACATGAGAAGCCGTGCTATACAATCGCAATGATACGTCAATACTCTATACGAGAATGTGTTGTCTCTCTTTTGTGCATGATTCTAAGGTAAGGTAATCATAAATACCAAGTTGAACTGTCATACACACGGCATACTCAAGGTGGTCATCTGGCAGACATTTATTCTTTAATCTGACAGTATTTCGGATGGAAGGATGAAGATATTGCAACAAGTTGTAACTTTGGCAGCAACATTAAGTGGTGTGTATTTCATATTGATCCAGATGACCAATACCGTCACAAGTGCGCATTCAGGGCCTGACATACCAGTGATCAATTGCATGAGTAACGATCTGTGTCGTCACAAACACAACCCCACAGGTCATACACTGACACTTCAGGATACGGTGGTGGCTCTTACAACAACCATAGGGTATTGGATATGTGTTCTGACAGGGAATGGTCCCCGGGTCGGTGGGGTGTGACATAGTCGGTTGTTTAGAGTTGCCTACCTTAGACCTAACAGAATCCGACGGGCGCGAGTTCGGGCGCCAGATGAATGATTCTTGGTTTGTCAGTTCTTTCTCCTCTCGACAGTTTCAACACGGAAGTAAACGGCTTGATCCTGAATCACAGGAGGATGTCCTTCAACCTCCAGATTACACACCGAAACGTATCTGATCTTTTCCTTCTTATTTCACACCAGCACTGATGAACATGCTTACAGATATACTCATTCCTGGTCCCCCTCCGTCAGGTTCATGATCAACTGTACTAATAACACTACGCCTACAATGATATTTAGTCCTAGAAAACGTATCTCATCAAAGATGTACAAAAATGAACACACGACGACATCAAAGAAGATTCTAGAAGAAATTATTTTCTATAACTAGAGCTGTGACAATTTAGAATTGCCATTTCATTCTTAACTGGACTCTGATCTATACTCATTCTCTTGGGTCTCCGTGACCTACTGCCTGCCAAACCGCCACAATTTACAGACTTTTACTTAACGTAATATTCGGAAAGGTGGGTAGTATAATAAGTATAAAGCCCACATAAAGATTCTGATATATCCTTGTTTTCATTAATAAATTCTGAAGAGGTTCAATATCCTCAGACTCGTGAAGGTCCGGGCTGGAATGAACCTTCAGTAACCCATGCTTGTCGTAAGAGGCGGTTAACGGGATCGGGTGGTCAGGCTCGCTGGCTTGGTAGACACACGTCATCGGTTCCCAATTGCGCAGGTCGATGCTCATGCTGTTGATCACTGGGTTGTCTGGTCCCGACTTTATTATTTGCAGACCGCCGTCATATAGCTGGAATATTGCTGAGTGCGGCGTAAAACAAAACTCACTCAATCAATCAATATCCTCACAAAGCATCTTGTGCACGCTGCTTCAAATCTGTGAAGCACCAGTAAAATATCCAAGAAGACGTATTGGCGTAGCATCAGCAAGTACGACATTACGCAGCTTATCAGGATATTTAAATACTTCACAGCCGAAGACACCAGGAAAGGCTTCATTGCCACATCAAGCTGACAGACAGTTCACCCAACATCCTGTGACACAAATCTCATACTGTTAAAGTAGCTTTATACCCAGTCACTCCCTTTTGTTTAATGGTAACAAATCATGATTTAAAAATAGTATATTAAAAAAACCCGTCTGTTTCTGGGGTACTTGCTATTTCATAGGGATGATATACTTACTAGAGGCACTTCAATTATCCAAGCTAGGCATACATCAATCAAAATAGAACTGATATGTATGTCTTATAAGCTTTCGTCAATTTTCGATGCAGATCAAGCTGCTGTATTGATCTTGTCATCAGGTCAACAACTTACTGCTGTTTTGACCCATATCATGAAGCACACATTAGCAGGATCATAAAGTGTTTTTTGAATGGCTTGGTCAAATTTTGCTAACAACTATAAAACAATAATTTGACTCGATGGTTGATGGATGCTCTTAGAAACATTGTCATCAATAAACATAAGCAAGATGTGGACACAGTGCCATGTAACCCTTGAAGCAGCACAAAACTGTATGAGAACAACCCGGTGATAGAAACTTTGTAGTAGCACACTACAGGACTGTAGGAACACACAGTGTCATGTAAACTTTGTAGTACCACACTACAGGACTGTACGAACACACAGTGTCATGTAAACTCATAAAAGCACACTGCAGGACTGTCTGAGCAGAGTATAAATGTCCCTTAGCTGCACAGCCTATAGATTTGATCTAAACTGATTCCATATATGGCACTTCATTGACTAGCCAAGCACTCTTTCCCAATAGACTAATAAACAATTGGGCAACACATATTGACAGATTGGTTTGCCCTGATTGGCTTGTGCTTTATAACTGTGATGAAGAGTTTCACTTATCCCACACCTGTTGTATTGGCAAAATATGCACTCTGTAAAGTTGGTACTGTCGACTTATCCATCTGTATATATATATATATGGTAAAACATGGTGAACAGTACATAGATCCACTACACAGTGAGTGAGCTCACTGGATTGTCTGGTCCAAACTCGATAATTTACAGACCGCTGCCATATAGTTGGGATATCGCTGAGTGCAGCGTAAAACTAACCTCACTCACTCATCCCTATCTATGTTTGTACCTACATAAAGGCACACAAAACATATATCTTAAACATATACATGCAAACAGCTCAGTACACCATGTTGTATTGATATTGCAAAAAAATGAAATAAACAAGAAACTGTACTTCCATACATTTATTATCTTTTCAACGTAATATGATATGAGTTTGCATGTAAACAACAGATATTCTAACTAGTAATTCAAATTAAAAATTTGTTCCAAAAAAATAAACTGGACAAATATCACAGAAACAAATTGACATGTTCACTCTCTCATGCTTCAGGGTTAAGATACAAAAATACTGTTTCACTTTCCACACATATTATGAACTTGTTTTAGGGTGAGCACTGTATTGCTGGCATGTTATATAGTATCTAAAACGACAACAAATGATTATGTGAGCTAGTTGGTGCAAATATGAAGTCTCTTCTATCCTTGTATTTTGGTGTTTAATTGCTATAAAGTTCAAACATAACAAAACAAAGACTACAACTTACCTTTTTAACTTATGCATACCCCTAAGTCAAAATTAAAAAATATTTGACACAAACTTACTTACAGTTGTCATAAAACTTAAGTTTTCCATGAATACAGTATAATCTCAAACACTACATAAACATACATTTCAAACAGACACACATTTAATGCCAGTTTCGATGAAACATGAATAAGACAGGGAACATCTGTCCTCTATTAATACTGTAACACTGATGAAAATAACAAGATTTGTTCACAAAAATATCTTTGATTCCATTACAAACAGGCTATAACAGTGTAACTGTCAATGCCAGTCTGTTCTCAGTGACTGATTTCATTTGTTTCTGCTATTGCTAGTTCAGTTCTCAAACAGCAACTTTCCTTAATTATCTCCCCTTGACTGTACAGGCACACTCAATGTGAGGGTCCATGACTTCTAACGGGAAATCCCACTCTGGTAGCCAAGAACCCCAGAATGTCAACTGTACAAATATATATATATATTTAATGGTGAGCTGAACTGCTCACATTTCCCACACAGGAATATTCATTCATTTGAATGCCTTTCTCAAGTTCTTCATCATCTGCAGATAACACGAATATACGTCATGGAAGTAGTATCCGTGGGACCCTCGACTTCTGTACATATATATCTGATTGGACTCCAGCTAAATGCTGGAAATGTTTCAAATGCAAAGATCTTGGTATTATTCGCTAGTTGCCTGGTTGCAGTGATGTATACTTCAATAGTAAGGTATGATCCGATACCTGAACTGAAGCAATTTAACTTGCAATGGTAAATACAACGTCACCTTTTGTTTTCATTCATACAATGGGATCAAACATTTGATACTTCACGTGCTGGGGTGTCTTTTTGACATGTTCCAGAAAAATAATGGATAATATAAAAATATTTTTGAAATGGAAACAATAATATGGCCTACAGTTGCCCAAACAGAATGCTCATATGTCAAGTGGAAATATATATCAATTGATAAGATTCTCCTTTCAGATAATTTTCTACATTTTAGGCATTATTCCAAATTCTTAAGTCTCACATTTGAAATATGTAAAAGCCTTCATAAGGCCCGTCCGACCGCCCAAGACGGGCTAGATTTCTGAAGGACAGTCTAGATTAACAGTTAGCCAGCCCGATGGTCTGGAAAAACTGTTAGATGTTCCATACATATCTTGGTGTCTGATCTGGTTAATCCATTTTGGGCTGGTAACATTTTGAAGTTACCATCCCTGATGTCTGGCAGGGTTTTTGGCTTACTTCATACACTGTAAGTATGCGAGATCTTTCTGATGTGCAAGTCATGGTGGGAGCTTTTAGCAACACACTGTAAACCTTGATCACGTAACACTTGGAGTAAATATTTGAAAAATATTATGTAACAGGTTTCAACTATCTTCCCCCAATTGGGTATTACGGAATCTAAATTGTGAAAAAATATACGAGTGAGCAGCTCAGACACTAAGACAAGCATGAATGAGGTCTGTTGACCTCATGGCCTGTCAAATACTGTATGTATGTATCACGGATCATGACTACACCGTGTCCAGAGAGAAGAAGGTCAGTCTGGATGCTCCACGCTGAGCACTGACACCAAGTCTCCCAAGTCCTGTCCTACAGACCACACAGAGCGTCCTCCTTCCATTGGTATGGGCCGTGGAGCAGGTTGAGGGCACACCTTATTGCATCCTGCTACCATCTTGGCACTCTCAACAATATCTACACTTATAAACATCATCAAGAATCACGGTCTTGTTTGGACTTTTTCTTAATTTTTTTAGTTCTTTCCCATCGTACGGTTTCAGCCTCAAGGGCAGACAACTCCATTAGTCTTTGTTGGAATGAAGGTGATGCTCCTGAAACTGGGTCTGTATACTTTGGTTCACCTGAAAATGTAACAAGGAGATTATTATTGATTTTTATGTTAAATGAAACTTGTGACACGCATGCACGCACGCATGTGTCTTTATATCATCAGGCCGTGATAGTGAACAGAGTTTCATGCTGATGTCAGTAAACATATATATACTATCTACACAACAAAACAAGCACTACAGTCTAAGTAGTTATGCATAAATTTGTTTCTTTCATATCGCCTTTTCCTACTAATGTAAGATCACCTTTTCAGAGTTCTCAAAAACTTGTTAAAGTATCAATTGCCATTTGACATAAACATAAATTCAATTATCAATTAACACAATTTATAATCATTTCTACATGCCAAAGTATATCATTATCATTTACAGATGAATGATCACTTTCTTCCAATAACTCTGGTAATTACTGATTCTCTCCATGTTCTTCAAGCAAAAATGAGTAGTATTATTATTTGAAATGTGAGACACTGTATCAACTCTCACTACACCAAATATATCGTTTGAACTGTATTCTAGGCCACTACTCACTATCTTTGGCAGTAGATCTAGATGTGGAGAAATTGTTTGGGAATCCAACACGTGTGGTGGTAGCACTTGGGCCTTTCCGGGGATTCACATTGGATGTGTTAGACGTGGAAGTAAGAGAGAAAGACTTGGAACTGGTCGTTGTGGAGGTTGTTGTGGAGTTGTTGTTGTAAGTTGGGACTCCATATTGTGCCCATAGCTACAAGGTCATCAGGCTCCCGTCCTGAACAAGGAAAGGACTTATAGACAAACACTGTTCTGTGCACCTGTCGAGCTTTAAGGAACAAACATGATGGCTGCTTTGATAGTGTATTCTGCAGCTCAGCTCTTGAAACGAATGTACCAACCCTCGACATATACAATACAAGTACATCTAAACGCAAAAGTTTCTACCCAAAAAGTTTTGATGTAATAAATCAGTATAATTTTAAACCTCAGAAAACAAATCCTACTGCTTGTACTTTAAGAACAATATCCTTCATAACTTTGTTTAAAAATAAATTTAAACAACATAATAAATAATGGAAAGTGGTATGAAAATAGCAACAAATGTCTGCAGTATTAATGATGGCAGTAAGATCTACCACTGTACATGTATGTGCACAAACTCTCTAGGCAGCCCTTATCTACAATCAACTGTAACAACTCAGCTGTTACCACATGCAATTTGGTAACTCTGGGGCCCTAAGCAAATATTTATTTATCTCGTATTGACAGCTTAACCTTGACCCCTTATCATGCCTGGGATTTCAGAAGAAACAGCACAAACAAAAAAAGATTGACAGGTGAACTAAGAAACGAGCGTCTTTGTAACAACACATCTCGTGAATTGGCATGCCAGACCTCATAATGGTGGGTGATCAATTATACTCCAGTAATGTAGTTGCATGCACTATATCACACAAGGATATATATGGATTCCGGTATGCTCACTTTATCATAATGATCAACAGCTAAGTGGGAGTGAGTGTTTGGTTTAATGCTACTTTGAAGCTATTCCAGTTAACTCATGGGGTGTCAGCTTAGGGGCAGGAAAGCCAAGAGTGATGCAGGTATGAGATATTTGCCCTGTGAGCATGGGTACAGCACTGAGCAGTTAAACCTAAAACAAACCTAAAACCATCATAAGGATGAACCAAGATTCAAACCTACGATCATAGCTTTCCCGCACACCTCAACTCATGACAACGTTAACGGTGATCAGTTTTATCGTGAACAAATATTCCCAGAGTAAATGCATTGTCAAAAATGTCATCCACTAGCAAGTTCAAGGGAAAACTTTGGTAGAGAGAAATAGTAGACAGTAACACTACAAGACCAGATACTCTGACAACTACACTGGTCTGATATCACTGCCACTGTCAAGGTGAGTGAGTGAGTGAGTGAGTTTAGTTTTACGCGGCACTCAGCAATATTCCAGCTATATGGCGGCGGTCTGTAAATAATCGAGTCTGGACCAGACAATCCAGTGATCAACAGCATGAGCATCGATCTGCGAAATGGGGAACCGATGACATGTGTCAACCAAGTCAGCGAGCCTGACCACCCGACCCCGTTAGTCGCTGCTTACGACAAGCATGGGTTACTGAAGACCAATTCTAACCCGGGACCTTCACGGATAGCCACTGTCAAGGTATATATACCCTAGGAAACATAGCAAGTAAAGTGATGAGAGGAAACTACCTAGTCTGGAAGTACCTTGTACATTGTTTTTGTGATTCAGTAACTGATCACTTCTCAGCAGTGTTCCACGGACCCCGTTGGTCCTACCAGGGTTCTGCCCTTTAGCTGTAGGGAATGTGTTCTTAATAGGCCGCAACTCATCTTTTTCCCCTTCAAAATTAACTGCAAAAAGCAAAGCATTCATGCACAGCTACATGCAAATACTAGACACAAACACGCAGCAGTTACAACATGTAGTGGTCCTCATTTCTAACAATAAGGCACTTTCATTTCTAATAACATCAAAAAGTCCTACAGTATATACCGGTAGATAAAATTCATAAAAAGTATCTCTCATGTATTTGAATACAAAAGCTATAAGACGCCATGCAACATTTTTTCTAACCTAAGTACATTTGTAAAACATGCAAGCTATTTCAATAAGACACTTTGTGCACTTACTATATTAGCATCAAAATCAAAGCTGTAATGTTTTGTGCTACACAAATTGTTTCATGTTACAAATGTTGGTGAACCAAAACTGTTTGGCACTGTGGTCAATATTAGAACCTTATAAGTGTATGTGAGTGTGTGTGTGTGTGTGTGTGTGTGTGTTGGGGGGGGGGGGCCTCAAGTAGGTGAACATCTCAAATCATGGGGGTCAGGGGCCTTGAGGTCCACTTTGGAAGTATTGGAATAACCCAAACAATATTTAACTTTTACATGAGGGTACACATAAGGATTTTGTCATAACATAAGACATGGACCCCTTGACTTCCAAGCCTCATTAGTGTATAGCCTTACCAGCTTCTTCACTCATCCTTGAAGTGACCATTATGAAATCAGACAGTTAAGTATAAACATCCGTTTCAATGAAAATATATGTCCAGATGGTTACCTTTTTCCAGTGATATGGATCTTCTCGAGTTGTTCCGGCTGGTGGGCCTCCTGTTGGCGTCGATGTCCCGCAGCTTTAGCTTGTCCTTCTCTCGGTCGAAGTAGACTAGATCGGTGGTGGAGAAGTCATCAGCCGTAGGGGCGGGCCGACTCACCTCTGGGTTGTACAGCAGGTCTGCAGTAGAGAACGGCACCGTCGGAGTACTGGAAGAACTGAAAGTCAGACAGCGACATTTAGATGGAATCAGGGGATCAAGTCAGTATTAGTGTCAGACCAACATTTCTATTTCAGACGAGACTGTATCCATCTGGTTTAGTGTTAAATGGTAAACAAACATCGTGGTGTGCTATAAATGGTCGTATTAACCAGATGAAATGTTCCATCTATTGCAGGATCTGAATGTCAGGTTATTATCTCCCTGACAACAGAAATTCAGGCAAACCAGTCCAGTATGTCACAGCAATCACAGTTCATCTATTGAAAGAAGGCCATGAACCAAACAACTTTGATGCAGAAATATACTTTGATTCAGTTTCAATTTCTATAGGTTGAAGTGCCTGTCAAAGCAGACAAAAACAATGCATCAGGATATAGTTTCGTAGCCCTACGAACTTCTAAAGCCCATTCTTAACATGTTGGCTTCGATCAAAGTTAAGAATTCTTAGGGCTACGACCGTTTCGAGAATAAGGGTCAAGGTAATTCAAAGCTACAGAACCCTTCAAATATTCATAAAATCTCTCCTTAAAGCAAAGTCAATTGTACAATCTTTACAATACTATCAGCAGGTGTTTATGAATTGTTATCCAAAAGCTGCCACATCTGTATCACCCATTAAAAACACATGGAAAGGCAAGTCAATTGAAACAAAAATGATTTCTGAACAACAGGCTTCCCAGGCTCTTTAATTCTTCCATGTAGATAATGCCATAACAGATCAGCTTACCATAAATATCCTCGTCAACATAGAATTCTTACACATACATCCTCAAACAGATCCTTTCAAGTACAAAGTGTTGCGGAAATCGATGTGAAAACTGAACTACCTCCAGACCATAAATCTTATCAAGGTACAGACATAATGATAGCATCACCAATAACCTCTACGGTAGCCTTCCCTGCTACCTAACAGAATCAGTTCAATCAGCACCACCACTATTAATCTAGACCCAGCATTGGAAGTAGGCAGATTGCAGCTGAGATTTCTCCATGGAAAGGCAACAGGCAATAAAGAACAGCACTCATTCACCAAAGCGTTATTCTAGATTGCCATCTCTTACAACGCTCAATAACTGGCACTGGGTTGGATCAAATAGACCTCCATTGAGCAGTGTAATCCTCGGTCTTGCTTTACAACAGCAGTACCTTGCAGAGACTCTGGTGTAGCTGTGCCAGAGGTGGGGTGTTCTCTTCTTACTGTATATGTAGACGTGACAAAGGCTTGTCTAGGTTACTGTACTTTATTATTTGTAGTTTACTTTACTGCCAACACAGTGTTGTCAAATAACAAATCTATCCATGCTTTTAGTTGTCCAGGAATACAGGATTACAGAGCTGACAATGTGAGCCATACAAATAATGGATTTTAGATACAATGGAAACAGGAATATTTCTGTTTAGTTATATACTTACAGTGTTTCTTTATTTACAAATATTTGGAATTTGACTGACATGTATCAATAGCATTTGCTTTTCCAATTTGAATTTAAGTAAAGTTATTGACAAATCTATTTTGATCAGACATTTCAGCTTCATTAGTATGAAGACAAAATGATAAGGTATACATGTCAGGAAGCGTTTCACCTCATGGTATGAAACATTTCATAAAAGGAAAGGTTTGACCATGAACATAAATGTGGAGAGGTTTCTCACTTTTTCTTTCTATATTCCAAACTTCAAGTCCTTTTAAATGACATCTCAAAATCCAGGAAACTGAACAAGAAGAAAATATTGCTCTTAAAATACAAAATTTGATTTCTGTTTTAATGTATATTTAGGATTGCAATATTTGGGAAAAGTATTTGTATTATCCTTTTTGAAGTCATTAACTACTATCGAATGGAAATAGCAAAAGTTGGGAACCCGGATACGGCAAGAATCACTCATAGAATGACAAAGATGAAGCAAGGCACATACAAAGGGAACACATGCACACACAGGCTATATACCGGTATGTAGTGTTTCCCTCAGGCCATGATAACAAACAAGACATTGATGAGCTCGTGACAGACACTTGATACTTGACATGTAATGTAAAATGACCTCTTTTGCTTGAGTTTGAAGTCTCCAAAGGAATAGGATATATATTAAAATCTAAGCGGTTAGACATGACCTTTTACAATTGTCGTCACAATATCATAAAAATGACATATTTTGAAGGGAAAATAGGTATTTGCATATAACATCTTTGTGCATTATCAATCAACGAAAGCATTTTAAATAACAGACAATAATTCAAACCTAATTAGGTTTGATCATTCAAAGCTATGATGTCAATAAACCTACAGTGCAGTTAATTATTATGAACATTAGAACATCATAGTGTTTCTATTTTAACACATGCAGAACTTCTGCTCCAACAAGACCAACACGTACCAGTTCACAGCTGTCCATGTATGTACCGGAATGTATGGCAGTAGAGAAATACTAGCTACCTATTTCATTGCAAGTTAAGAAGAGCAAACTAGAGCCCTCTACACAAAATTTACCTTATGAAATATGGAACGTCAAATTTGATGAATTCATAATTACATGAATAATAAGTACATCACTAATATTTAATATAATCAACTGTTACCCACTTTTCATTCATTATGATCCATTAATGTAGACTGTTCAACAAGAGAAGTATTGATACATCTCAGAAACTGGAGACTGGACAGTGATGACATCAGTCCTAATCTGGTACGAGGCTGCAAGAATCCGGTCACCAGACTGACCCCATCACTTACCTGATGCATTGAAAGACTTTACCTGATGATGTTCACAGATATATTCCTAACCCCACATCATCCTTGCTTCCAACTAGCTACATGCCAGCGTGTGCCAGCTTCTTCCTGTGCAGCATGTCAACCATCACTGACTCAGCATGTAACACAATCGGATCACAGACTTGGAGAATGGGAGAGCCAGTTGTCCTGGCAGTATGGACTAGCCACAATTGTTCGGTCAATAACTTCGAGGGTAACCTAGTTAGCTGAATCCAAATCTCAACTTTTCAGGACAGATCGGAGAGCTATTTTCAAGACTAAAAAACATGGCCTGTGTCTATTATTACTTTGAAATGTTATGTAAAATTTAACTTCTGACCCACAACATACTGTAGTGACACTTCACTATGTGGCTTCATAACCACTCGTCAACCCAACGTTTATCAGTGAAGCATAGAAAGGTGACACTCACTCTGTAAATGACCTGACATGAATAGGTTTGACTGGACTGAGGACAATCCATTGCTGGTCGGGGTACAAGAAGTCCAATCTCTTCATCTGCATCAGGCTGGACAGTGAGTCAGTCCACTTACTGTCGGAGGTATCAACCAAGAGTCAGTGTAATAATGTCAGCATGTTTTCCCCCAGTTCCATTGTGACAGTCACCAGGTGGAGCGGGTTAGCTTTGTGTCGGGTGGAACAACAGACTGGCGTGTCGAGTGTGTACCTCTGTGTTTACTTTGCTTGTACTCCAGCACACTCCAGGCACTAGGAAGGTCAGCAGGGGACATAACTCTTGATAAGAGACTTTTGATAACGACCTGACACTTAGAGATACTGCCAATACACTTTACAACTTGGAATGAATTACACTGTAGTAAAAAGATATTGGCAATGTAAGTTACTCAAACTCATTGTGCCAGATTGGTTTTATCGTTCAGGTAATCTTAAGAGGTAGCCAGTTGCTAATGTGGACAATATAATGTACACTGTGGTCTGTTATGAATAAGGGGCATTAGGGCTGTGTGATCCAAATGTGCAATAGAAAACAAGAAAACATGTATCGGAGTACAGTGAATGCTGCTTGAATCCCTGCATACTGAAGTATGTGAAAAGTCAGGTCTAACACTAGTGTTGCAATAGTTCTATACAATCTGGGATCAATGCACAACACGGTAATCAGGTGATACCACAAGGTTACATATTTGTGGGTGGTGTTGGTCCTGTGTCCGACATTACCGAGGAAAGCATGATAGCATTAGCATCATTAATAGTCTAATCAACATTAAATCCTTTTTTCATATTTTTCTAATACACAAATAACAAATATAAACTACAATCCACTGTCCTTGAACCATACCCAGGATAAGAATATGATTTTTCAGAAACCATGTTGAAATAGCTTCGAGATTGTCAGCGGTTCTAACAAATACAAAAATATCTTGGGCAGGTGAGGACTGTCCAATGGTGGATACGGTCATGAGAAACATGAATACCATTTCAAGATGCAAGCGACAGCTGTAGGAAAAGAGGTGTTGATATAATTCTAATGAACTGTGAGGAAATTAGGCGCTTGGAACATGACATCAATAAAAATCACTTTGGAAAGAACCACATCACCAGAAAAGAATTATTTATTATTCGGAATTTGAATTAACTTAAGAAACTTGTTACTTTTGCCTCCTATGCACATTCCTCTCCTAATTTCAGGAGGGTGGGAGTAGCCCTAGTGATACAAAAGTTAAACTGATCATCCGAGAAGGCCGGTTCGATTCCCCACATGGGTAAAATGTGTGAAGCCCATTTCTGGTGTCCCCCGCCGTTATATTGCTGGAATATATTGCTAAAAGCGGCGTAAAATCAAACTCACTCACTCACTCCTCTAATTTCACTTTTCACTTTTAAAAAGTGCTTTGTAATAAACTCAATCCAACCCTAAAACTGAAAACCCAAATCCCACCACCATACACCTCTGCCACATGAACATAGACAATCTGGTTCACTCTCTGCTGCACTGTTTGAGGAAGGTAGAGGATCGTCTATCACCATTGTGGTCAGTGAGACATGAGGGTCAATAACAACATTTGGGCATTTCTCACAGCATATTGGAATAAACAGCCTGATATCCTTATGTTCACACAATTAGCAATAACCCGAAACCTAAAACAAATACACTTGTCACATAACATAGCATTAGGCCAACGTCAAGAGACAGTCTGAATAAACAATATGGGTGTGTGAGTGAGTTTAGGATTACGCCGCTTTTAGCAATTTTCCAGCAATATCACGGTGGGGAAGACCAGAAATGGGCTTCACGAATTGGGCCCATGTGGGGAATCAAACCTTGGTCTTCGGCGTGACACGCGAACATCTTAACCACTAGACTACCCCCACCACCCCAAACAATATGGATTACCTTGCAACCAACATTCCTAATGGTAACCAATGTACTACATTAAGGGGTCCAGGCCATAACAATCAAACTGTTATAGAATCATAAAACACAAACACTTTGCAGTCTGCCACTTTAGCCACTGGGCCAAA